CAACTTATTGATCGACATTCAGCACTACAAACGTCGCATAAGGAAGATTCCGACCGCATTCCATTCACTCTCACGTTTCACCCTCACAACCACTCAGTTAAATCCATCATTCTTAAAAACTTTAAATTACTTCAAAACGATCCAGAGACAAGCACTATCTTTTCGCAGCCTCCGCTCATTTCATTCAAACGCGACAAAAACATAGGCAATTTTTTGGTCAGAAGTTCTTTTCAGACTAATGACCAACCAGGCACTTTTAAATGCGCTCGTGCACGATGCAAAACGTGTCCTTTCATTCACAACACTGATAAAATATCGGGACCTAAACGATCCATTAAGATCACCGATCACTTCACGTGCACCTCCGCCAATGTAATCTATTGCATAACTTGCACTTATTGCAAAAAGATATACATCGGCGAAACAGGCAGAAGACTAGGTGACCGATTCCGAGAACACCTTCGAGACGTGGAAAGGAATGACAAGGACACATCGAAACCAGTCGCTAGACATTTTAATTTACCTAATCATTCTAAGCAACATATGGCAATCTGCGGTCTTTCCTTACACTTAGGTAGCACGGAAAGCCGTAAAAATCTTGAACAAAAGCTCATCTTTCAAACCGGCAGTCTAAATCCCACAGGGATCAACGAACGCTTTTCATTCCACTAATTTATTCTTGTTTTTCTCGTTGCCATGTTCCCACCAATAACGTAGCTCCATTTTCTGCCTTCAAAAGCACACACAACCCACAATTCCTCTATTCGCTCCGACGAAGGGCTAACGCTCGAAACGTCAGCTTTTGTAATCGTTACGGTGGGCAATTTACCATTTCAACTTTGTTGATATATCCAAATTATTACATGCAAACAGAGTTTGTCTAGGAATCAAGGTTTAGTATCGACGTTCTCATTTCTTCAATACGGTGTTTTAAGAGATGTTTCGACAAAATTAACTTTTGGAAAGTTAACAAGATAAGAACTTTTTATCACTGAGAATGCTATTCCATGTCATTGCAGGTCCCTCGTTTGTGCCTGGTGCTTCAGAACCTGGCGATAAAACTCCACTGGAGATCTTTGTCGATGATTCTGTGTCCCGGTCTCTAGTGAAGTTTTTTGAAGACAAAGGTGACTCTGGTAAGGCATAAACTCTACTTCGTGGAAAAAAGGTCAATCCAACAAATCTTCTGTCTTAAGAAGAAGCGAAACATTCTTCTTGTGTCCGAACTCCGTTCATTCACCTTTGCATATGCTCTCGTTTCACTATTTTGTCGCTCCATCGTTTCCACAGCCATCCATTTCAAGCCTTTTTCGAAAACGTATTACTGTAACGTCGAGATTCCGAGCGCTGTAAAACCACAATTTTGCTACTTTAAAACGTATACTGTGGCCTGAGGACTTATTGGGTTGTGCCGACCAAGTATCACGAGAATATTAGTAAGTTTGGTAACTTGAATCACTAAACATGGCATGGTTTATATCTACATCACTTGGCTTCTTTGTACCTAAAGGCCTTCCTTTTTTGCCCTTATCAGAATCATGGTTTCCTTGATCGAAACAACGGATTTCAGCAGATCGTCATATGCTTTAGTTTTCGGCATCAGGCATTTACCGGACCTCTTTCTCGGCAAAAATCGCTGAACATGTATGACAACTACATAGAGTATCAGATGATAAAAGCCACCGACCCCTCGATTTGAAATGGAGAGCATGCTCTTGCAAAAAGCGGTGCGAGTGACTTCGGTTGCAATATGCAAGATTTTCTTGGACGGCAAGAGTAACCGTTGGTCAGTGGCATCATGCATGATTTGTGTGAACGTAATGTAGTACTCAAGGGGCACGATCAATTATTTCTCTAGATGGCATGAATTTCTCCAATTGCATGATGCATGATTTGCAGTGAGAATACGCACGACTTAAATTGCATGACGAACATTTTGCGCGGATGGCATGAGTTGCTTAACTTGCATAATGCATGTTGTGCATTTAAAGTATGTGGTCTTTCGTATGTTTGCTGCATGAACTAAACTAGCCTTATGGCTCATTATTAGCATAGAAGGCAGATAGTACTTTGATCGCATAATACGCGGCATATATTGGTTTTATTGCATACTGCATGGTTGATATAATTGCATGCATTGCATGGGGTGTGATTTGCATCGATAGCATAAATTACTTGAATTGCGCAATGCATGAGAAAGACCTGAACTGATCATCTTCTTGCCTTATTTTCTCTGCATGGATGGTGTGCATTTCTTAAATTGTACCATGCGTGATTTGAAGCCTGTGTTACTTGAGTTGCATAATAGATAATTTGCACCGTGGATGGTGTGAATTGCATTGCATGAGTAGCATCCAGAGCATAAATGATTTTTTAAAACCAATGCACGAACTTCACGAGTATAGAAATTGATTGCAGGAATTTCGTGGGTTCCATTTATGGATGGCATAAAACTGTATCAATTTTTAGTTTATGATAAGTGCATAATGTAAAACAGACAGCCACTCTTAAACCTGGCAACCCACAAATCCGAGCTCGAGTAAGTACAATGCAAGTTTAAGTTTCCTCTCCCTTTTTTCTCAGTTTAATTCAAGGGGTTTCTTATTAATCATAACTTTTTATTGAGGGTGTAAAGACGTTTTTCTTCTTCAGCATCGCAGCCAAAACCTCCAGATAACGACACTATCCAGACTTTTGTAAGGGCTTATGTAGATGAGTATTTGGGTACGTACGCCATGTTTTTGTTTGTTTGTCGGGTTGTTTTTTTTTCTGTTATTGCGTTTATTTGTTTGTCGTTTTTAAGGATATCATTGTGTAAGATTTGTAAAACGTCCCTCAAGAGCACGTTTTTTCTGCCTTTTTTACGTCTTTAGGCGAACTCAATCTTTCTTCATCCCTAGAGCTCCAACGACCACAACTTCAGCCTCTTAATAATCGCACTATTAAGAGCTTTGTGGAGGCTTATGTAGACGACCATATCGGTTAGTACGTGATCCTGATTCTTTGTATCCGAATGAACAGCACTTAATTAGATTTGTAACGTCTTTCAACACATTCATTCATCTCGCCAGAGGGGGGATTCAATCTTTCCTCGTCTCAATCACAAACTTTTACAACTGACAACCAATTTTAGTACAAATTCAAAAGTATGTGGGGCATTATAATCTGGTGTATGCCAACGTTTTTTTGGTCTCTTTAAAGACAGTATTAGCTTTTTCATCTTTATATCTCTGTTATTCAAGGTGGACTCAATTTATCCTCTTCGCAACCAGCGTCACCACCAATGGCAGAAAACCGAACGATACAGAAATTTATACAGACTTATGTGGACAAATATCTGGGTTAGTATATAGCGTATATACTAATGAAATAGTTGTATCAGTCAGTTATCGGATGTTTGATGTTGTTCCTATTTTGATTGTTTCTCGTGTGATTGACTCCTTAGCTGAACTCAATTTTTCCTCGTCGCAGCAGCCCCAATCCTACCAATCTGATAATAAAACAATCGAGAGCTTTCTTCAGGCCTATGCAGAGAAGCATTTGGGTAGGTGGTTCTGCTTTGAACACACCGTTATATAATATGGTTGGTTTGCCTTTTTTATTTTAGTTAGTTTGTTTGTATGTTTATTAATTAATCAATGGTTCATTCAATTTGTCTCTGTCAGAAGCACAAGCTATTGATAACAGCACCATTCAGAGCTTTGTCGAAGATTATGTTGAGGAATATATTGGTAAATATTCTCTGGATGTATTAATATATAGGACTGTTTTATGCGCATCTGTATCTACAAAATTCTTCAATAATTTTTTCAAAACCTGGTTTTCTTTGGCGACGCAAGCAAAAGCGCAAACACAAACAGAAGCACGAACGCAAGTATAACAGGTCTTATTTCACAGTGAAAACGGCCGCAACGCAAAGACAAGTCAAAGGAAAAATTAGGATTCTTTTGCTTGTGCTTGAGGTTGTTTTCACGGTGAATTAGAACTTTTCTGCATGCGTTTGTGCTTACGCAAGCCAACAGTGATACATAACGTGCAATAACATGCTTACTGTACGTCCAACTACCAAACACTTCAAAACTCGAAGGTGATGTTATTTGGTTTTGAGATTTTTTGTTATTTTGCCATCTTTGTTTTCAAGGCGGACTTAATCTTACATCAACGAGTCCACAGCAGCCTCTTGATAATAGCAGTGTGCGGGACATCGTGAAAGATTATGTGCGTTCGTATACGGGTTTGTATACTATCTCATGCTTTACGTTCATAATTCTACAGTTATTTCCTCAACAGGGTCACATATTTTCACTTCTACATTTCGCTTTTATTTTTTCCTCTTTTTCTACTCCAGGTGGTTTCAATTTTTCCTCGCTACATTCTCAAACACAGACGCTCAATAACGGCACCATACGAGGCTTTGTAAAAGCATACGTAGACGAGTTTGTTGGTGGGTATACTGTAAAATGTTTAAAAACGATATTTTGCCTTAATTTTTTTTTCTTTTTTGTATCGATAATATTTTTGGTCCCTCTCTAGATAAATCTGTTGTACTTCGAAAATGATGACGTCCTTTCATTTTCTCCTTTCCTTTATCAAGCGGCACTAAACTTTTCCTCGCCACAACGGCAAGCAGAGCTACCAGACAATCGTACGATACAGAGCTTTGTTAAGGATTCTGTTGACAGATTTGTGGGTGGGTACAATCTCGCTTGTTTGTATTGTTTGTTTTGAGTTTTAAGAAATGACACCAAATCGTGGTGTTCATTTTCCAGCCATTTGTTATTTCAATGTTTAGGACGCTGATTTGACTGTTTTCTCTCCAAAGCTGGACTCAATCTCTCTTCATCTCAAGCTCAAACCCAGCCTCAGGTGCTGCTTCTGAATAATAGCATCCAGAACTTTGTGAGGATTCATGTTGACAATTATTTGGGTGAGTATAGTTTTTAGTTCTTATTAACCGAGCGGGAGGTCTATATGGGAGAATTCTGAACGAAGTCGCCAGTACAGACCGAACACAGTGAGGTCTGTACCAGCGACTGAGGTGAAGATTCTCCCATACAGACCGACCTAACTCGGTTAATAAGATGTTTATTATATGGCTGTGTCTTATTTGCCAATTTTTTATATTCTTTGTACCTTTTTTTGTAGACCGGTCTAGATGGGAAAACCTAGGCCGCTTTCAATATTGATTTCGGCCAATCAGATTCGTGAATTCGGTAATTCCCAGTCCTTGTGAGACACAGCCATATAATAATGTCTATTACGTGGCCGCAGGAACCTTACAATTTATACCTTAAAGTATTTATCTTCATTATCCAACTACACTCCGTAAAGTACAAATAACGCGCGAGACGAGTTCAAATATCATGCGGTATTTGTACTCCAGAAATATCCGCGAAATTCGCCCGCACGTACTGAAATAACAATTTGGCGTGTTGGATAATAAATCTCTTGCTAAACCTTTTGTTGTGTAGTATCGCTGAGTATTTTACTCGTTGTTTGTATTTTGACTCGCCCTACAGGCTCGTCCTGCGGCACAACTCGTAAAAATACTCAGCGATACTGCACAACAAAACGTCTAATGAGATATATCTATTAACCTTTTGGCCTCTATGAAAGACTAACATCTAATTTCTCCTTACAATATCACCCTCTGAATAACACATTAAGGTCATGAGAATAAAGGAAATGATCACCAACTAGAGAAGCTCTTGATTGTTAAACAAATTCTCCTTGTCAACACCTTAGAAATTCTATAGAGAACAGTATGGAGAATATGCATACTGATGTTCAGGTGTGGAGGGTTGATCGAGTTTACAAGAGCTGCGATAGAATATTTTTTATCTTCTTTTTTGCGCTGCGCAGAAAAGTGTCTTTTTGCAAAAGAAAACTGTTATATTTTTATATGGTGACCTTGGTTACCCCGGTCGACAAAAACTGTCCAGTTTATGATGAGGTCATAGGAATTGTTCCTAATTCTTTCCTAATAGACTTATCTTTGTTCGCTATTTCAGGTAAACTCAATCTACCAGCCGATAATCGGACACTCCGAAATATTGTACAAGATTACGTAAAGGTATATATAGGTGAGCATGCTCAGCTTTCAAGGCCAAAGTGTTGTGTATAAATGGTTAATGATCCCTTCGCCTTATGAGGATTTCTATTTTCTTTTCCTTTTCTGAAAAAAGGTGGACTTAATTTGACTGCGTCAAAACCGCAAACGCAGTTTCTCAATAACTGAACCATCCTGAGGCTTGTAAAAGTTTATGTAAACGATTTCATCGGTGAGTGTAAGGCACAAGTAAACCTTCCCTCCAAGTAGTGATCAGAAAGGAATTTCTCAGTATAATATCCATTTTCAAGCAGAGAGTTGATACGAAGAAAGGTCTCATTTGGGCATCCTTGTTTGCGCTACGGCTTAGACTTTGCATCGGCCAAATTGATTGGTTTTGAGATGCAATGAATATATGAAGTTCATATATTTTGAACTGCGGTATTAGATACGTGTGATGTGCGATCCTCGCAGTAGATAGCGCTATTTATGCAATAGCGAAAATCAGACACTACGAGGATTTTCTGATTTTCGCTGAAGTCTGATTTTCGCTATTGCATAAATAGCGCTATCTACTGCGAGGATCGCACATCATACGTATCTAATACCGCAGTTCAAAATATATGAACTTCATATATTCATTGCATCTCATTTATCACTTTCACGGGTTTATTACGAATCAACTTAACGGCCTGCTCCCAGTTGGCTTGTTAGCTCAATTGGTAGAGCGCTGCACTAGTATCGCAGAGGTCAGTGGTTCGAGTCCCGTACAGGCCTGATTTTTTTCAGGTCTGATTTTCGCTATTGAATAAATAGCGCTATCTACTGCGAGGATCGCACATCACACGTATTGATTGGTTTTGTTATAATAGATATATACTTTTTTCTTTCTTCCTTTTTTTTTTTTTGCTTACCTTAACTATTTATTGATGTATCTTTCATTTGTTGTCTTTCGTATTACTTCATTTAAAGGGGACCTCAATACCTCGTCACCTCAAAAGCAAACACAAAAACCTGCTAACCTGACCATTCAGAACTTTGTGAGAGAATACATCAATGAACACATTTGTAAGTACATCCTGTATCGCTGTTCTGGTGGAAAATCATGGTTTTTGTTTACGGAAAACAAGTGAAGCATTTACAAGACAACTTCATCCCTAAAACTGGAAGCCATTTTCTTTCTTTGATTCACCTTTTGTTCTGTACCAGATGGACTCAATCTTTCTTCAGCACAGCAACACACTGGGCGTTCTATTAACTTCACCATACAGAGATATGTGAAAGGTTATGTTGATGAATACATTGGTGAGTATAGTATGACTTGTAGTACCTCATGACTTTCAAGAAAGTTTTAGATTTAAAACATGTGTAAACTTGCCAAAGACTTCGAAAAAATATCACGTATTTGTTTGCTAAGATGCGAGTGATGAATGTGTCGGTAGCTGATAAATCCTTAAGCATGAGTATTTTTTTTTCCCTTAAAAGGTGGACTTAATCTTTCCTTGTCACCATCGCAACCGCGACTGCTCAGCAACAGCACTTTTCAGAGGGTTGTAAAAGATTATGTAGACGGTTATTTAGGTGGGTGTGCTGTGGCATGGTATGATCATAACACTACCTTTAGGCTGTCATGCACTTTTGACACTTTTTTTACGGCACGTTGATCCTGTTGTTTTGTTTTTCATTTTAGCTGGACTCAACCTTTCGATTCTGACACAACCTCGATCAGAGCCGTTTCAGAATACCACAATCCGAAACCTTGTGCAAGGTTATGTCGACGTGTATATAGGTTGGTATCCAGCACGCTATACAACCTACTGTATCATGGTTTTTTTCTCCTAGATATGCTTGAAGTCTTTTATAATTTTGACTCGATATCAGATCTTTATCTTTGTTCTATTTGAGATGGTCTTTATCTTTCTTCATTCACAATTACAGCGGCTTGATCCGCTCTATTAACCTTTAACTTCCAGAGATGATTGACATGTTACTTCTCCCTATAACATTCACACTCAAACTTATCAGGTAAAAGTTGTTATCTTGATTTAACACCCAATTCTCAGAACTAATTTACAAGGAAATGAGTAGCAGCTGGTGGGAAGAATTAACGATCAGGAGTTAAAAGCTTAAAGAATTCATAATTGCTCAATAGGATGATTGCAAACGCGTTCTGTGTTTTCGAGTTTGTTTGTGTCTTTTTTTTTTTTTGTCTTTACTTAACGCAGTTGAAATTTCTTTTCTATTTTCAAGGTGGACTCAATTTATCCTCCTCGCCCCAGCGGGAAAATGGCCTTAGTAATCGCTCTATCGAAAAAGTTGTTGAAGACTATGTCAACCAGTTTATAGGTAGGAATGTCCTTATGTATGAACATGTTTACTTGTATGGTGCAATTTCACCTGACTATCGAAGGTTAAGTAGGCAGCGACTGCACTGGTTTTGCTTTGCCACTCTCTTTGAAATCTCGCTCTGTCCTCTCAACCAATCAGGTGCAAAACTGAAATCAATCACGACCTATCCATTCACGTTTTCCCACGCATGCGGCAAGTTTTTTTTTTTTTTTTTTTTGTAAGTATTAACTCCTCGCTTGCATTGGTTACTTGACATACTGAATTTAGCCTTTTCTGAATTGTAATTAATTAGGGTTTCCGTTGATCATGCACAATTGAAAAGCGCTTTGTTACTATAACGAAGGTTTACTTTCGCCTAATAATCCATCGTCCTCTTCATTTTAAGTTGGCTTAAATCTCTCATCGCCGCAACAGTCGCCATTGCCAAGTAACCTTACCATACAGAAGTTTGTTGAAGGTTATGTGGATGAATACGTTGGTGGGTATGATATGCTGATGGTGTGTAAAGAAATGCCTTTCCATTACAACCTTCATAACAAGGTTTCAAGTTAAGATTCTTACATAAAGAAGTACTTATAACACGTCTTTCTTGTTAATCAAGGTGAACTGAATTTATCCTCGTCACGATCCACACATCAAGCGCTTGACAACCGCACCGTTCGAAGCTTTGTAAAGGGCTATGTTGACCAATATGTCGGTGAGTATTTTGCGTAAGCTGGCCCCAGATTACCATAGTCTTGACCTGTGGCACGTATTCCGTATCACTATACAGTAATGGGTTTAATGAAGAGGTGTGTAGACAATTTGTTTTCACAAGTTCAAGATATTTCCTGCCCTGGTAACCTAGAGTAGATGAATATGAAGACCTTCTAACAGTTCGTCTTTCTTTTGCGTTCAAGGTGGACTCAATTTATCATCAGCACAACTGCAGGATAATGATGCGATTCAGAAATTTGTAAAGAGTTATGTTGACGAGTATGTCGGTGAGTGTTTTGTTGAATAGCAAGAGATTTTATCATCATCATAATCGTAAGCACGACTGCTTGATATCGAACAATACTAAATTTAACTTTAGGCTGCAACGAAGAGTTGATTTGTGTTGAGGTGTTGTGGTTATTCAAGTGACTTCTCGTGTTGTGAATCAGTCACTTCCCATGATTTAAGGTGGCTCGTACCGGTTTTCATCTTTTTGATGGTTTGTAACTTTGAAAGAATACAACAGAAAGACTGACCAAGGCCAGTTGAACACTTTTACGGGGTTGAATTACATAATCATTGGTTATCCAAAAATAAGTGTCATTTCGTCACTAGCAGTTTCCATGGCAACGCTTTCATAGGCTTATTCAGACGCATTTTTTAGCTTGTGGCTTAAATAATTCGAAAACTAACCCGGTGACCCCCTGATTTTTTTCAGTGATTGCTTTTGGCACTTGAAAAGGAAAATGCACAAAGATTTTTAAAAAATTCTACGGAGCGGAATTTCAGAAAATCTACAAAAAGGGCAATTTTCACACATCGCAAATTTCCTTCCGTAGAAATCTATTGCATAACTTGCACTTATTGCAAAAAGATATACATCGGCGAAACAGGCAGAAGACTAGGTGACCGATTCCGAGAACACCTTCGAGACGTGGAAAGGAATGACAAGGACACATCGAAACCAGTCGCTAGACATTTTAATTTACCTAATCATTCTAAGCAACATATGGCAATCTGCGGTCTTTCCTTGCACTTAGGTGGCACGGAAAGCCGTAAAAATCTTGAACAAAAGCTCATCTTTCAAACCGGCAGTCTAAATCCCACAGGGATCAACGAACGCTTTTCATTCCACTAATTTATTCATGTTTTTCTCGTTGCCATGCTCCCACCAATAACGTAGCTCCATTTTCTGCCTTTAAAAGCACACACAACCCACAATTCCTCTATTCGCTCCGACGAAGGGCTAACGCTCGAAACGTCAGCTTTTGTAATCATTACGGTGGCTAATTTACCATTTCGACTTTGTTGATATATCCAAATTATTTCGTTACTCCCACCGACGCAGCCCCAAACAGTTTCTTTCGAAACTATCAGCCTTTAAACAAACAAAGAAACAAACAAACCGCAAACAAGGTACGGAACTAATTTGTCAAATTCTCATTATTGTTATCGATGTTTTCCTCTTTCATTGAAGGTGGACTCAATACATCCACATCACAACCCCAACCGCAGTTGCCTGATAACCGCACAATCCTCAGTTTAGTTCATACCTATATACAAGAGAGTCTGGGTTAGTATACTGTTGTCTTACCATGTTTCTGTCGTTCTGTATTCATTTTCTGTAACGTTATTTGATGTAACTTCACCTCTCACCTTTTCATTTCTATCCATTGAAGGCGGACGCAACCTTTCCTCATTGAAGCCTCAACCTCGTGATAACCGCACCATCCTGAATCTTGTTGAAGCATATCTAGCTGAATATCATGGTTGGTACTTCAAATCCCAGCACATTTACGCTTTGAAACTTTATGTTATTTTCACAACGACCGTGTTTTCCTGAGTGGATATGATTTTTTTTTCAGGTGGGCGCAATGTTAACGCGACACAACCGCAATCACGCCCTCCTTCTAACAGCACAATCCAGAGCTTTGTCAGGAACTATGTTAATGAATACATCGGTTAGTAAAGGACGTAGTTATTGCAGTCTTGGTTCAGCTTTCTTAGTTATTTATTGTGTCCCAATCATCGGCATTTCCCAATTCTTTGAAACCAGCTTTTAATCGAGTGTCGAAAATAAATAGGTAAATAATAAATAAATAATACATAAATGAGTAGTTAATGAGAAATAAATAAGTAATAAATAAATAGTCCGGAATTGTTTTGGTTTTGCTTTATTTCATTATGCCGCCTGGTCCAGAAGACCTGCGCTATTTTCTCAATCAGATTCAATACTAAATCCACGAGCGATTTGGCTACTCGCGTTTTCCCAAGCTCCATACAGTTTGTTTGTTTTTACTTCGCTATGATTGCTTTGACTTTAGTTTTACGACACTCATTCGAAAACCTTCTATCAGGGACTAGTGTTGTGTATATCTTTTATAGATGAACGCAATTTCTCCGCGTCTCAACCACAACGTCTACCTTTTGATAACAGCACAGTTCAGCGCTTGGTTGAGCATTATGTACAAGAATATTTGAGTGAGTAAGCCCCTTGACTTTTCATATTTCTTCTACACTTCTCGTTTTCCTACTGTCTTTCTCGAACAATGGATTTTTTTCATTTAAGATGGACGCAATTTTTCTGCATCACAACCCCAATCACAGCCGCTCGATAACAGCACTATCCAGAAGATTGTAAGCGCCTACGTGAATCAACATATTGGTTAGTGCACGACTTGAATACTTGAATAATTATGTCAAAGTTTCTTTTTCTCTGTAAGATTAATATATTACTTGCTAAAGATCTGATGATTCTACCATTCAGATGGGCTCAATCTTTCACCAGAGGCGCAGCCACCCATTAACCGCACAATCCAGAATTTTGTTTCAGAATATTTAGATAAGTATACCGGTAGGTATATTGTAACAATATACACTTTTCTTTAGTATGCATTTTAGCCTATTTTTGCGACATGGCTGGTCATGGTCAGTAAATATTTTTTATTGAAGTAAACTTAACTTATCTTGCCTCCATCAACAACCTCGACGGCTCGATAAGTGCACTATATAGAGTTTTGTTAAGGCTTGCATAGGAAGTAAGAGTCTCTAATACTGTGTTAAGTGCATCTTTCTTGTGTAAGATGGTGGTGTCACTGCGAACGACAGTTGCTGTTAAGTTAATTGAATCCCAATCATTAGTCTCTATGTTGCATTGCATCCCATAACTATGTTGCATGATGCGTGTTGAGTAGCACGAGTCAAACTAAATTGCATATATATCTGCATTTTTCTGTATTGGCATGTTTCCATCTAAAGTTTGTTTTCTTATGGAACGGAGCACTTTAAAATTCTTACAACACCTTTGCTTCGTTTCATAGTATATATGTACACGTCCGGTAGCATAATCTCTGCTCTATCTGTCATGGCATATGCATGTCTTGCATATGCATTTCTTGCATATTGGGTTTTTCGCATGTTGCATGGTGGAGATGTGCATGTTGTTGCATGATTTCAACCCCATTTGCCACTGCATGTGCACGTTTTGTATATTGCAAGATGCGTGTATTCATGTTTTCTTCGTATTTGTCTCGCGCATGTCTTTGTATGGTCTCTCGTGTAAGATTAGACTATAATTAAGCTGTACGTTAGTTTTGTTTTATATTGCATGATGAAGGTGCATGTGCATGCGTATACTTATTCATTTGTTTGCAATGTACTTATAACATCTGAGGTTCATGATTCATTTTAAAAATAGTTGGATTTTTGTCCTTGTTAATTTGCGGATCGACTTTCCATAATTTGATGCTGTTCACTATTGCTTGGTATTATTTTTATGTACTGATTGCGCCATTTTTTGCTGTTTATTTCTACTGTGTAGTTATACATCATTGATTTTTATAAATTTGAGCATTTAAGTGTAGGTTAATAGTTTTCACCAAAGAACATGTAGGGCTACATGTGTCAATTTACTTGTTTTGCAGTATTTTATTGGTCAGTTTTATTGCATGGCATTCCCCGCTGCATGAGCATGATACAGGTGTACTTGCATGTAAAATAGTATACATAAATTTATGCATGCATGCTGCATTTTCTTGTATGTAACTTTCCCTAGATGGGAGTGAATTGAATGAAAAAATCATCGAAGTGGTGAATTCTCGTTTGAGAACTACCTCAGGTAAGTTCTTGCTTTAGAGAACCGTCGAACTAAATGATTTGAAAAAAATTGTGTATATTTCGAATGCACTAAACAAAATGAAACTGTCTTCTTTAGTGTCTGAAACAAAAGAAAAAAATTCCTGTAATTTATATAATTCTTGGACTCTTCTACAGCCGTTACATCGCAATGAATAGCTGCGAAAAAGAATTGTGTACTTCTAAAAAGTATTATATTTAAATGCTAAGTTTGTTCCTCACTTAGAATTGATTTTGAATTTTTGTATGTGCTTTATGTTTCGGAAACCATACGTATGTATCTACTTGTATGCTCATAAATAAGGGATATCATCTCAACTGATCGTGAACGCCTGATAGAGGGCAGCTTGAGGATTTTGGTACCATGTTTTATTCCGATTTTCGTATCAAGACTGTTGGCACATTTTTGAAGAAACCATGGTCATAAAAACGTTTACTTGCATTTGACAAACCGGCCGCTGTGCTTGTTGTGTTGGATATATCGTTTATCTCATAAATAAGGTACGATTCTTTAAAAGTCATAGAGAACCTACTCTTCATCTCACGCCACGTCATGCCAACTGAATAAAGACTATTTCAGTATCATGAACATATGCCATTCCAAGCCACATCGTACCTATGAACATGTCATGCTTTATCATTTACGCCATTTTATACTATACCACACTTGTCGTAATTCAATTCCAGGCCAAGAAACACCATACCAATCTATGTCAAACCAAGTCATGAATCGAAATGCAATAGCGCGCCATACCAGAAATGTTATGCAATGCTAATGATGCTGTGCGCAAGCCAAGCAATGCCAAACCCGTGCTAAATAATGCCATGCAATACTGTGCAGTGTGCAGTAATGTTAACCATCTCGATGCCAACATATTCCATGTAGTTCGTTTCCATTTCCGTTAAAACTTCCTCCTCGAAAGGGAGGGTCTCTAAAGCAAGCCAGACAAAACTAAGGTGAGTCAGCCCAAGATAAGCCAAACCATACAATGCAGTGTAATGCGGTAAGCATGCAGTCCACGTGCATTATAATGCAGTCAGCATGCCGTCTGACACGCCAAGCTAAGCCAAGTCATGCTGTGCCGAGGTTCTACCTTGCTTCGCTATGCCAAGCTATGCTCACCGACGCCAAGCTCTTAAGTGCATTGGAAATTTCGAATGTTTGAACTGTTTCAGACAAATAGAAAACGCCGCTATAGTATTGCATGTTTTTCCTCCTTGCTGACATAACAATACCACTTTGAGATCAGCAAACTTTTTCCATTCAGCACGGAATTCAATGCCATTGTAAGTCAAGCCAGCTCTGACTTGTCATAAGACCGTGCCATCTATTATCCTTTCATAACTATTACTTCTAATTGGAAACACTTTCAGTGATAAAATTTATGCATTCGATCTGTCAGCCTGCGTCATTCCTGTCAATTTTCTCGCTTCATTACTAATTTGTTTTCTTGTTAATCATATTACGTGTTCTAAAGCGTGTTTCGTCAAGTATTTATTTGATTTCCTCAATCTCCTAAGACTGAATTCCATTGATTCCAAGCTCAGGAAAATACTGCTTTCATTCATGTTGTCCGAAATCTCAACTGTACTTACCATGAATGCTATTTAGTCCTCTTGGACTAGCTCCGTTCTTTTGTTTTCTACGAATATTCTTTTCATTTCTTTTATCCGTTATTTTGTCTTTCTTTGTCACTTAAAAATGATTTTAAAAGGAAAAGAGACTGAGGACAAGATTGAAGTTTTAAATTTTTACTCTTGACAGATGTTAAGTCAATCCCTGGTCCTCCGGGTCCGCAGGGAATCCAGGGGCCCACGGGGCCCGCGGGTCCCCCTGGTATTCAAGGCCCTGTTGGTCCTCCCGGTATGCCAGGTGCAAACGGTCAAGCGGGAGCAGCGGGAACACCCGGCCCTCCAGGTGCTGCCGGAGCTCCCGGTTCGAACGGACTCCCGGGCCCTCCGGGTCCCCCAGGAAGAGCAGGAGCTCGTGGCACACCTGGTCCGCGTGGCCGTACCGGGTCGCCGGGGAAGTCGACAACGGTTACACGCCCCACGGGGGGCGGAGATGGCAAGCAGACAAAGGAACCCGACAAAAAAACACCGACGTTCGAAGGATTCTGTGAGTTAATAATATTTGTAACGCCGTTCAATGAATTCTGTGTTGGTGAGAGTCAATGTTCAAGAGTTCATGTGACCAACTTGTAACGCACTCTATCCCAGAGAGAAAAATGCTAAATTTCAAACGTTTCATTCCCAGAAAATCGAAAGAAAAAATGACTTTCGTCCCAGACAGAAAGCAAAAGCGTTGAATGAAGGGGTCACCAAAGTTTCATGTTGTAGTATCAATAAGTTGTGTCTGGAAAAAGGTTCGTCTTTATGTTATCGAAAATAATACAAAATCGAAAGAAATGTGCCATTCGTCAAGTCACAAGAGACAGTTAAGCTGATCCTAAAGGTGTGCAGGACGCGCTTCACATATGGATTGATTTTTAAAATGGCCCAATCATTATATAGTTCTCTTTTCCTGAGTGGTATACAGCACTGTAGCACGAAAATTCAAGAGTCCAGGATTCGAATCCTCGTCGCGACTTCGATCATGTTATGTTTGTTCCACTCCCGCGAATAAACGCAGAACATGTTCCTTGAATCCCTTGACCCTTAAGAGTGACTAACATCTTATTTCTCCTTACAACATTACCTCTGAATTATACTGTAAGGTCAGGCGAATGAAGGATTTGATCACCAAATGAAAAGGCTCTTGATTGTTAAAACAAATTCTCCAAATCAGGACCTTAAGAAATGTGTAGAGAATTGAATGGGGAAATATGCATACTGATGTTAGGGTTGGACCATGCGGGACAGTGAATGTTGTATTGTTATGGTTAAAGAATCTCTACGACTCTTTTTTCAGCCAAGCCTAACATAACCATTAAGCCACCGAAATCATACATAGCTACGAAAGGAGACTATATAACTCTAAGTTGCTCTGCCGATGGATTACCTAAGCCAGAAATAATCTGGGTGAAAAGGAACAGTGGACGTGCTGTCATCGGAAATTTTTTCACTTTGGAAAACGCTCTCCCGGAGGACTCGGGAAACTGGACGTGCCGGGCGAGTAACCTCATGGGTACAGATACCGCCAATCTAGAGCTCATCGTAGCGAGTAAGTGATCTGACAATTATGGTCAATGGTAATTTTATTGTTCGTAGAGTTGACAACTTCTAGCTTCGCAGGAAAACATAACTAGCAATCGTTTCAGCGTTGCCTGGCATACACTTACGAGGCCCTTACAATTAGAGCGGCGCCAGCACGGGTGTTTCTTTACCTGCGAGTAAATTTTAGGCCTTGAGTAAGGCGAGCCGGCGAGATGTCTGCCAGACCACATGTAGACCTCTCGCAAGTTAGCGTTGCTTAAGGCCTCAAAATTCTCGAAACGCTCCAACTAAGGCACTACCAATGAGGCCCTGCTCGTAGGTTAGCCTTTGGCTCTCGTTTGAACCCTTATTCACAAATTCTGGAACCGCCCTTTAAGCCTGTCGGTGAAATGCGCGTCTTCTATGCCAATCAAGACACTTCACTGTCGCAGTGCCTCTCTCTACCCAGGACTATAAAACGGTACTGGCGAACTGTTAGGGTAGCCTGATAAAATGTTGGAAGGAAAACTTGCAATGGTATGGAATCCCATTTAGGAGGGGTAGGGGGTAGAAGACCCCTCCAATCGCTTCTTGCGACAGAAACAAGGCTGGATCGGCCACTTAGCTCGAATGCAGATACCTCGCTCTCTTTTTTTACCTTTATCCACTTTGCCAATGGCAGTTCTGACTGCTTTTTCCGTTAGGAACTGATGAAAATTTTCTAGCAATTTATTTTTGTAACTTATTTTTTAGCCGAGCCAATGTTCACTGTAGCACCCGAGCCAAAAATCACAGCTTTTACGGATCAAGTCACTGAACTAAAATGCGAGGTGGAAGGATTTCCACCACCCAAGATTGAATGGCGTCGTCAAGGCAACAAGGAGCTTCCTTTTGACAGACACTATATTCGAAACAACAACCTATTCTTAAGGAATCCTGTTAAAGAGGATGAAGACATCTACATGTGCCACGCCTCAAATCCAGCAGGGTCTGTTATGGGAGGTACTGAAGTTACAGTACAAACTTATGGTGAGTTTTTTTGAGCACTGAAACTTATACTTAGCTCTTATTAACCGAGCGGGAGGTCTGTATGGGAGAATCTTGACCGAGGTCGCCAGTACAGACCGAACGCAGTGAGGTCTGTACCAGCGACCGAGGTCAAGATTCTCCCATACAGACCGACCTAGCTCGGTTAATAAGATGTTTATTATATGGCTGTGTCTTTTATGCCAATTTTTTATATTCTTTGTACCTTTTTTTTCTAGACCGGTCTAGATGCCGGTCTAGATGGGAAAATCTAGACCGCTTTCAATATTGATTTCAGCCAATCAAATTCGTGAATTCGGTAGTTCCCAGTCCTTATGAGACAGCCATATAATAATTTCCCTTTACGCCCTTATATCAGTATGCATATCCTTCATAATGTTCTCCATATATTTCCAAAAGTGGTGACAAGGAGAATAATTAGTTTAGTTGATGGTCATTTCCTTTATTCTCGTTTGGCTTAATGTGTGATTCAGGGGCGATATTATTTGGAGAAAATAACTAGATGCTACTCACGTGCACTCATAGGGGTGAAGGATTTAAGATGTACACCAGCCTGATTGTCCTCTTTTTGTATTTACTATAAAAAGAACTTGTTTTCATTGGATACCTCAAGATTGTAGGTCGCGCTATTTCAGATGTTTGTAGCTTTGGTGAAGAAGAGAATTTATAAATACAGAAGTGACTAAATCCGGCCTGCTTTAAACAGAAACCCTATACAGTTGTATCAAGAAGATACAAGTAAGGGTTTCCTACGAATGTTTGCTCAACACAACTTTCACTGTAGAAGTATGTAAAATTTGAGGTTAAGTCTTCTGACATACCGAGACAACTTCACAGAATGAACTTCGAAATATTATTAAATATAGATTGGTCATTTTGGTTCTGTTACGAGTATTTTGATAGGTTTGGTTTTGAAGACGGATCTTGGTCGTAAGGATCAAAAATCCGTAACAGACAGGAGGAAAATGACCTGGGGGTCGGAGTATTTTGTTCTGTAACGATAACATTTACCTGATCCCCCACAAGGCTCTGTCATACTCTTACGATCCCCTTCTAATTGGCCGTTAATGGGCGGTCAATTTTCTCTAGTCCCTCCTTCATACTCAATTGGCGACGACTGACCGCCCCTCCGTTTCTCCCTGAGAACTATTAGAGCCCCCCCCCCAAAAAAAATCCTACACCCACCAACCGCTGGTGATAAATAAAGACTGGTCTCTTAAACTTTTTTCCAGAACCGGTGGAAGTGACAAACGTCCCTTTGAGCATTGTGACAGTCCAAGAATTCGATGCTCCTGTCCGCGTAAATTGTTCCGCACGTGGTGTACCTATGCCGAATATTACTTGGTATAAGGATGGTGTTGCCATGCCAACGAGGACAATAATTGATGGCGATGAAGTTACTGGAGAATTAAACCTGGAGCGGCTTCGACCCTCAGAGCAGGGTGATTACAAATGCGTTGGTACAACCCCTGTGAGGAACGAACCATTCACCTACACGACGACAATTGGTGAGTAGCCTGCAGAACAAGCATCTTTCTTTTGTTTTTGATGCGTTTCTGAGACGAGCTAACGCCAGGGCGAGAAAAGGAGCGCGAAAAATCGACGCACTCTCCTTTCGCATCTGACTCGCCTCTCGCACTCGTCTCCCAATCCTCCCACTCTTATCCCGGTGGGCGTGAGTTAAAAAAAATACTAATAAAGGTAGACTTGTTTTTGAGTGTAATCCAGTCTCGCACCATTCTCTAACCCGTTCAGACAACAAACGAAAACCAATCATTTCTTGGTCACCCGCGTTTGCCCGCGCTTTTAGTGGTTTTCCCGCGCTTTTAGTGGTTTTCCCGCGCTTTTAGTGGTTTTCCCGCGCTTTTAGTGGTTTTCCCGCGCTTTTAGTGGTTTGCCTGGTTGTACTTTGAGTGCTTTGGCTAATCAAATAAGTCAAATCTTTTTTATGATTGGATGTTGCAATTACTTTGGTTTAGGTTTTACGGCAGTCATTTAAAACTGCTCTAATTTTCAATTAGTAATTCCCTCAATCGATTTCCTGCTTACCTCTTATGTGTACAGAGCTTCAAAAGTGCCCTGAGTTGGCAGATCCCGTTGACGGTTACCAGATAGGCGATGGCTATTCTGTTGTGGGAAGTATTGTGAGGTTTGCTTGCAATCCGGGATGTATGTTGTATGGATCGTCTGCCAGAGTTTGTGGGAAAGATGGAGTGTGGAGCGGAACTCAGCCTTATTGTAAGTTTAGATAGATAGATAGTTTAATCTCAAAAGCATTTGCAGCCCAAGGGCTGAATTACACATTTTTACAATCCAAGAAATTCAAAATTTAAAATTTAAAATTCAAAAACCTAATTACACATCTTACTATACCAGCAGTTTACAATATTATAACATAATAATAAATTGAATAAAATATATTAGCTATAAATGTAAATTACCTCTAATGTGTAATTTAACGAATTATAGATTCCGTTAGTTCTGTGTCTATTCAGTTAGCCGCGACATTCATCCGTTGTTCGGAAGATGAGCCCACACTTCCTCCCCAAAGAGACACTCAGGGAAAATGTGGCCTCATTCTTTTTTTCGGAGTTTGTATTTGATTTCAACATAGATGACACACGGTTATCAACTCATGGATCTTCCTTTTTTATATGCCTCGGTTTTTTTTTTTCTAGGTTACAATGTTGGACTAGTAGCTTATGAATGCCAACACTACCGCCTCCTGACCGAGCAGGACAGAAATCTCATGACTCGAGAAGTGTTGGGTAAATGCGACAACAATTTAGCAGAGGGCTGGTACCGAATTTCTGGCTCCGCTGGGGCTCAGATGCCAAACGCTTGCCCAGGCCCCGGTAGATGTAACACCCAATATCCCGGTTGGCTGTTTGGCTCGCATCCCCACAAGGATGACGGGTGTGTTGAGCGCATGGTTTGTTTTGGTGATTATGTCTCCGGCTGATGCGAGCTTCGCCGCAAGGTACTGGTGCGGAATTGCGGTAAATTCTACGTATACAAACTCGGCCCAACTCCCGGTTGTAATCTCCGTTACTGTGGACGAGATGCACCGGCCGCGGTTGACGGATGGTGAACTAAAAACTTCTATTCAAACTGTGTTATGGTCTCTTTGACACTGTTTTCATATTTTTATAATTTTTTTCTCATAATAAAAGCTTTGTTTCTATGTTTCTCTCGCTATTTTAATCAACGGGGATTTCTAATGGTAGGTTCCGCCTGCTGAAAGGATGGATAACGCTATCCATTGGATGAATCTCCATCCGATGGATAACACAGTACGTTATGCTAACACAGCCGCTGGATTGCTTCTTATCCGTTGGACAGCGCTATCTGGCCTTTGAACACTTGGGCCCAGGTTTAAAGAATTTTAATGCACCCGGAAATTAGAATTGCATGAGTTGCCTACGTATGTTAAATCGACTAGAACTTACTGTGATCATACTGTCGCGAACTAGAGCCAAAAAGATCTCCATTGTTTGGAAATTTAATTAAAAACTTCAACAAAAGCAGCTCAACCTCGCTAAATTCCTTTCTTTGCGAGCACCAAATATAGCAGAGGATCAGTAGTTCGGTGTAATTTAATCGCTTTCGAATACTATTAAAATCGATGGACAGCCTGAGGAAGTATTTAGTTCAACCTGCCTCGTCTCGGCGTGTCATTGTTTGGGTTTTTCACTGATTCAAAAAAGGAAACTGTTTCTCGCTCCGAAGATGACAACCACTTTCGTCTTCTCCAGGGGTTCACGCACTTTTATTCCGGTTCAAGGCAATGGTTGTCAGTCGTTTATTGGAGATACACTTTTACAAAGGTATGTGTTATAAGGTGCCAAACATTTTATAGTGTGTAAACGTTTTCTTTGGAGGCTTTCTAGCAAATCGATCTCGCCAGTCTCAAAGATATCAAACTATGAAACGTAGACCACTGGTAATGAATCTTACGTCGGCCGATTTTATTACTGTCGTGGCAAGGGTTTATTAGCCGCTAAAGTGATTTAAAGCGACTTGAACGAGCGTGAAGTCACGCGAAGGAAGATCTGATTTCTGTCGCGCGCGCGCGCGTGACTCGTTCTCGCGAAGCACCTATTACGCAGGTTTCAGAGTTAAGAGGTACGTGTAAATCTTCATTGAATGGGTTACTTGAGCTCTTAGTATATTAAATTTGAAACTTTCAGGGGTCTCCACGCGCTTAGCTTATGCTAGTGTAAATAAAGCAATGTTCTGTCGGAGTCGCTCACCCTTGGAAAGCATGTGACATTTCGCTCGCGCGCGTCGATATAAACGTGTTGCGCTGTGTTAAACCTGCTCTGGCTGCCTTCCACAGTGGACCACAATGCAACTACACAGTGGTTTTGAATGATACAATTCAGTACCCCTTCGACCAGTATTTCTATGCGTATATTTTGTAATCGTTTTTCCACACAATCGGAACGCTGAGCAACTAAGGAAATTATTATTGCATATAATAGGATCTCGTGTGTCTATACGTGACCCTATAAGGAACGAAAAGGATAACTTCCGTAGCCGATGATAATAATTCATGTACTCGAAACTGAAAACATTCTTAACAAGGAAGTGGAAATCTTTCTTCATCATTTTTATACAACGAAATATTTCTACTTCTTTATACCATTTATTGGACAGTTTTTATTCACAGTAAAGACTCCGGTTTTTCGATAAAGACGATTCAACCGATTGTTTTCTTTATTGTTTGAGTGAAATCCCCTGGTGGAAAGCGAAGCACTGTGTTACTAAGGATACAAAACAACACACGCTATACGTGTTGTTTTGAAGAAATAGGTAAACGCCAACACGCCCTTGAAAATCCACCTGTTACTCTATTGGCCTGCTAATTGCAGTTTTGAACAGGCTTTCGTCATGATCAAATTTAATTTCACAAAGAAACAAGCATAAATATTTTGTCGATCGTAATTCATTACCTACGAGTTTAGTCTCCAGAGAAACGCCTTCGATTCCAATAGGATTTTGTACAGGGTACTTTGACAGAAGGATTATTTGTCATGGATCAGGAGTATAATGTGGGAATGATGTTCAGGTCAGTTTAAACTCGAAAGCCTGGGTTCTTACAGCATAAGTCGTAAACTGGGCCATTAATCGCTAAGAAGTGTGTTATTAGTGTTAATATTACGGAGCGTAAGAAAAATCGGAAAAGGTAACGCCTCTTTTTCTCGCACCTTCGTTGCTAGACCATTAACTCTTCACTCGTAACCAAGGTGACTTTGAAGTTCGAGAATTGAGCACGATTTTTTTCTTAATTTACGTCACGCTATAGTTTGTTTGAGAGAGGAGCGGTGGTCTTATGGCTGCAGCGTGGCGTGCTGTAGTACTGCGGTTCAAAAGGTGCGACTTGGATCCCTGGCTTGGTTATACCGTGATCTTTTCTCTCCCGGCAAGAGCGTAAAATGGTACCAGAAAACTGTCAGGGACCCTGAGGAAATGCTGAAGGGAACGGAAAGGGGGGGAGGTGGGGGAAGACTGTGATGGACAGGCGTACCACCCTGGGAGAGCAGTAATCAAATCACTTCGTGCTGCAAAACCCCAATAAGTTTTCGCAGGTATGCAAATCAGCTTCGTGAGCAGACTTCACCAGAGTTATTATATACATTTTTTCGATCCAAGCTCGCGTAAATGGTGACGGAATTTTTTGGTAAACTGCCCTCTTTGGTGTTTCTTTTTTAGGAGACGTGCGTCAATCTAATGGCTAATTCCTAGATACTGTAATATCGAATTTCTGTTTTATTTCTGTGACAGCCATTTGGACAAAATTAATCTGATTTTTCACTACTGATCCTTGCGGAAATGAGACCTTAACTCGAAGGAAATGATGCGTACGATGTTAAAAATGATGTTTTTACCGGATGAAAATGCCTCTTCGATAATTTCGATTACAAGGGAAGATATTTCCTCGTTAGAGATGCTGATAAACAGTGTAAAAACATTACTTTTCAAGACAAAAAATCGATCGATGAGATTGATTGGTCGGCAGACTAATTGGTAATCTATATGCGCATAAGTTATGCCAGTTGCAAAAATATTGATAGTGCTCTCAACGTAAGAGTGACAAATCATGACTTCCTATACGATAATCTGATTACCAAAGCTTATTATGAATAAATCGTGACATTGCAAACTGTTATCGTTCTTCGTGTAACTTTTGCACTGTAGCGCTGTGAATATTTTTGTACAGATTTCTAATGACAGATATTTTAACATTTCAAGTAGTATTTTCCTTGAGGCACTGGCATAATTTATGAGTCATTCAAACTTGGATCTGTTCAGCCCAATGGGACTTAGATTTCAAAATATTATTCAAAGCGATTAAACGAGCTCTGTCCAGAGGCATACGTACGATGTGACGTTACAGCGAACGAAGAGACATCTGAATATGTCTTCTGGTAATCGAGGCGTTCTCCAAGTGTTTCGCCGGGCTGCAAGGAAAGCTAAGAATTTCCGACTCTTCACCAAAAGGTAGGCGTCATTGTAACATAGGAGTTTACACATTGAGTACTTATAGTTAGGTTTGGGGTTAGTTTGTCGACACAAAGAGCTCTGTAAGCCTGAAATTCTTAATTCTCTAAGTGACAAAAATATTTCGGAATAAAGTTTGAAAAATCCTTCAGAAACACGCATTAGTCGCGAACATAAGCTTACACGTAAACACGCGATTAAGGTTTCGATCTTACGGTAGAAGTTGACTGAATTCATCGATCGTGCTCCACAGGGACAATGAGTCCCTCTGAATTTTATGAAGCACAGTTGGAAATTAGTTATGGCTCAAAAAGTCCTCGAAACATTACGTTCCGAAGGACGTTTTATTTTGCAAAACAGAAATATTTATCCTTTTAAAAAACGAAACTCATTTCCTCAGGGCTGACTTGTTGGGAAGCCTTTCTCGTTGTGTTGATCACAACTCGTCTCCCTTGTTTCACTTTGTTTATATCTGGTGTGGATTTAGAATCGAAAGCTAGGATTAACCACTGATTTAGCATAACAGTCGTAACAACAGATCGATGAACGTGGCATTACAATGTTAACGATTTGTATTTTTAGTCCGGATTCTTGTAGCGATATTTTGGTTTAGGTCTGAGATCGCTTACAGTTCGCAAAATGAAGGGTCAAAACTGTTCAATTGAGGATCTTCAAGGTCATTAAGTGTGTTGTCACACGACAATAACAGGGCTGTTGCCCATTGTTCACATGCAAAGCACGCATGGAAATTGAACCGATTAAGAGTTCGATCTTACCGTTCCGTGGGATCGAAGCTTCTATCATGTTCTTTACGCGTTCAGTCACGCGCGTCTCAAGTGACTCCCCCTCCCGGAAATCGACGAGATTTTTAAAATTTCGCGTAGCTAAATAATCAGGGAGTATTAAGTCAACCTGTAAATATTTTTCAAGTTATTTTACTTATGTTCGCTTCGATATTACATATTGAATCAATGTGATTTTTGTGCTGAATTAGAATATTTTCCGGTTGCTCGAGGAGCGAGGCCACCGAAGACGTCAATACACCCATAGCTACACACGTATTGTTTACATTTGTCAGTTAATGTTTTTTTCGATTTTCACTAACAGTTTACATTACTGACAATAGAATTGCTTCCTGATGTAATTATTAGTTTTCCGGTCGCTAGTATTCAGCCAAAGCTACCCATCATGCACCAACGAGCACTGGAAGAACCCATGCACTGTAGTAGCACCGCGATGAAAATTTTCACGCAATAAATTAGAAAAATGTCATCTCGACACCGTTACAGGTGCACAGCACACGCTTGCATCATCGCGATTAAAAGTAACAAATACATTCTGACACCGTCCACTCAAAAGTGACAAAGAAATTTCAAGACTGATCTCATAGAAAGGCGGTTTTCCCTATGAGTTAACGTTTTAACCACGCTTTACGTGACCTTGGCGGAAAGCGACCGGACACAACTGCTCTGGTCAACAAATATAACCGTAAATGGTGTTTCTTTTCTTATATTGAGCTTTGATAAATACGGAAGGGGTGGGTTTAGATTGAAGGAATCCAAACAATTTCAATTTACCGGTATCTTCAAAAAGTGAATACTGTAACTGTCGGTTTTTTTCATAAATTAAGATGGCTGGTTTACCGGCCGAGTTATAGGATAACTAAAAAATTACAAGTTTCTAGAAGGAAGTTGTTGAGAGGAATAATAACATCCGAGATATTCTTGAGCTTTTGTGGAAAGGAATAAATTGAAAATTCATAGATTTGTATACTCTTTAGTTTGATTTCATGACCTTTCCGCGAACAACGAATAGTTTTGTCGTCAATGTTCTTGAGGGGTTTTTTTTTCGTAGTTTTTCTTCACTTTTTTGCAGAGGTAAAAATCAGTGCGCTGCTTTGTATATCTGTCGATTCGAGCCTATTCATTTTTAGTTTTTATCATAATTTTTTTTGTGATAATGTGAAATAATAATCATGCAAAAATATTGGAGTTTGACCTGACATACCGGTTCCCGAGGAGATGAAAGGGGCATCAGTGATTGTTGTGTCCAAGTAATCAGCAGTTTCCTACCCTGCTTAGAGTTTTACTCAACAAACTCATAAGGAAACCGCTGGTTAATTGAACACGACCAAAAATATTGCCTTTTCTATGCCTTCCTATTTTTCTACCGCGCTTGTTTCACCATTTGTAGAGTGAACTGGAGTCTTCAAGTCATCTGAAGCACCGTTTCCGGTATTTGTCACGTCCAAAATTTCGTGACGTACCGGAGATGTAGATAGCTAAGAAAAATATGACGATCTTAGAGTTATGCAGAACTCTAAACGTGAAAAGACAGGCATGAAATAAGATCTGGACCGTTTTTAACGGTTTTGTATTCACTTCAAGTGCTCTTGCATCCTTGAAATCTAACACCCTTGAGCATTGTGTAATCTAACACTAAGTCACGCAGACGACTTCCGATGGTAGACTCAGTCAACTACATCCTTCGCCGGTACAGAGTCGTCATTCTATCGCCGGCGATTCAGACGCGCAAGTGGAGGGGGGACGTATCATGCGAGTCTTAGCTTCTCCATCGGAGACCTTCTTCGATTTGAAACGGTGGTAAGGGAGTTTGAATTACTCTGAAATATGACTGAATACAGCCTTTTTTAACGCGAATGCCTTGCGAGACTGAGGCTTGTCAACATTACTCATGCGCAATCGTAACCTAAAATTTATTTTCTTTCGACTTGACGGGAATGACTCGTGCGAAATCTTGTCGCAAAATTAATCATTGATGTCGAAGGTTGCAGATGTTATAGTTTACGATTTGATATACTCGACGCATTATGTCCTTGGTGACCGTGTTGAGGTCTCCGTCAACTTCGGACAGCACGAGTTTGGCCACGGAAGAATCGGTAATTTAAAGTTGACGTGCGCCTTCATGATCACTGTTTTTTCAACTTTTGCGATTGTGTTTGATCGTCGTGTCGATGTTTTAATTTGATTGATACACTCTTAGGATATTGACGAAGATCAAGAGGATAGCTCACTGAGTAGGTCTAGAGCGTAAGTTTTTTGCCTTGGTTTTAATCTGTGAATCACTGTGTGCCGTCAAAACAGTCAAATGCATTTCTTTTCATATTTATTATCAGTCAAGGTGTTAGGTTGCATGTGTATCACATGGGTCAGCTCACAACAAGGAAATAACACATTTCTACCTCGAGGCTACGAAATCACTTTACTTAACAAATTAAAGCAAGGAATTTTTATTTTTTTGTGCAGTTGGGTGTAATTTAATCGAGAGATCAGGTAAAAGGTTTCGAACTTGAATTTCGCTCGTGATCCTACGCGATCGACCTTGCTTCAGTAAATGCCGCTTGATAATTGACTAAAAACTTGACATTTCAGACAAATTCGAACAATAGTTTTCTTAGACATGCCTTTCGAACTTATTTATTGTAGCAAAGAAGTGGTTTGAACCTACGTTTGTTTACGCTGGTTAAATCACTGCTTAAGATTTGAGCATAGAAAAGTCAATTAAGTTATGGTAAGAATTCGCAGATGTTCTTGCATTAACGGACCGCAAAAGTATCGAGAGATCTGTTGTCAGATAAAGTTCTTTGTGCCTTGGTACGGAGCCAAAATAGTGGCAGTTGCCAAAAATAGCAAATTATTTGGGTACCGGTATATAGATTTTAGCAAAATTGATGTTTCTTATACATTTCAGCATGTTGATACCAAAAATAATTTATTTAAGCTTGTTGGGTCGTGATACCCCGAAAAATATCTGAATTTGTTGGCTGCAGCAGTTAGTTATAATAGTTTTTTTCCTTTGGCAATCACAATAATTATGCATGGTTCTCAACCCTGAAATTATTTCAGACCTGTTTCCTACCCTCAAGGAATGTAAGTGACTAGTAAACCACAAGGGAAATTGTGTCATTTTGAAGAAACACTGAAGCCTTTTAGGCTTTCATGGACAGCTTTTCAGTTACTTGATAAATGTTCGAGGGAAAAACAGTAGTTCTTTAGATAACAAACTGTTATGAAATATGGCCTTATTTACATTGTTTTCATCAGAACAGTATAGGAACCATTGTAAAGTTGAGAAACGTCTATACAACACTACAACAAGCTATCATAGTGGAAGAACCAATATTACATTAAGCACCTCTATGTCAAAATTGTCTTCTGTGTGCAGTTAAAACTCTACTTTGTGTAGGGCATACAAAAGAAATCATGTGTATTGTATGTCAAGATTAAATCAGTTAGCAATTAACACCCTCCTTTGATTTTAATCCCTTCTATGATAAGTGCCAAAACCTGTTCTAAATGCTTTTAATTACAAAGAATTATCTTTAGCTGTTCTCAAATTGGTAATACTTATTTAGATGCATTTCTTTACAGGAGGGTTTCTATTAGTGCGATCACTGTCTGTAAATGTTAAGTTCAGATATTCTTTTATAACTTGCCACTTTCCAACTGTTAATTTGTTTTCTGTAAAGAAGTAGCACAGTAGTGTATTAACATTCTATGAGCAAAAGCTTTTCTTTTGGAGAAACACTTCTTTGACTGCATAATGCCAACTTTGACTTAGGTACTTGTCAAAGTTCTCATGATGTTTCCTTGATATTGTCTATGACTGTAGTGTTGACTTTGGACCCATGTGTGAGGGCCAATGGATTTAATTATCATCTTTTAAGAATAACAGATATTCATGGTTACTGTAGCATTGATAATCCGTGTGCTATGAGACATTCAAAATTCCTCTGCTCTCATGGTCAGAAATATCAATAGTTTACAGATTAGAAAATAGTTTATTTTACTCTAATCTGTACTTGAGACTTGACTAAACAGTTTGAAACAACAAATGTTAGTGCATAATAATAAATGTCAATTGTAAATTTTTATACTTAAATTAACTTATGTGGGTATGCTACAGATATTGTTCATGCAGGCTGACGATGTCTGTTTGTTTGTACTGATGCATAGCAGGGATATCTTTTGTTAAAAAACAAAAAAAAAATTCATGGTTGAAAATGTCATCTAATATTGGCTCCTGTAAAAATTGTGTGTTCATTGAGAATTTAAGCACTTGGAAAAGTCTGGGGAGCTGTCAATAATCTGGAGTTTTTCCAGACAGAGCCTTGAACAACTCTTCCACATCTTTTGAGCTTTCAAAACTCACTTGCTGCTCAACATCTTGATGAATGCAGACTGACACTTAATTGGGAATTGAATTCGGTGTTATGAATTGAGTTGATAATTAACAATTATTCCACGAGCGCGCGTTGGATATGAGATGATAGATAACCAACAAGGTGCGTAGCGCCGAGTTGGCTATAATCATCTGATATCCAACAAACGCGAGTGGAATAATTGTTTTATTAAAAACGTTAAATTAAATTATTGAATTTTATTAAAATTTTAGCTCTCTTTTAATTTTAAGCTGACACATACGCTTACCATATTTGTAGATTATGGTATATTGGCTGATATACCATAATGGCTAAGCCAATAAAAAGTCTTGAATTGCATTATCCAATGATCTAGTTTTTAATCATGTAAATTAGCCACCATGTAGAGTTTTTAAAGCTGACAGTAAGAGGGAATAGTTCTTCACCAAGGCACTCACTCTGATGAAGGGCTAACGCTTGAAACATCAGCACTGAAACTCACAAAGGTGGCCAGTTAAGTTAATAAATCCAGTTGATGAAACCAAAGTATCTTGTAATACCGCATCCCTCCCCTCCCTTGCACTTATACAGTAGCATGGGTTTTTTTTTTTTGTTTTTTTTTTAGAAACTTACCCCCTCTGCTCATTGTCAATTGACCTTGTTAATTAGCATCTAAAGTTGTTCACCTTTGAATTTTGATTTCAGGTCAAGTTTTGAAGGGTTCTTTGCATCTAAGGGAGCTGCATATGCCTTACCTGATGGAGACTTTGCTCGCCGTGCCACAAAACATGGAGGTGAGTGCACGTGTGTCCTTCCTTAAAATTCCTAGATATTAAGCTAATCACTACTTGGAAGTGATCAGAATGAGATCCTCCTTAAAATTCTAAACATTTTCCATTTTAGTTGCGTCTAGGTTCATGCATATGTTGTTTATCTCACTATGTAAACTTATCAAACTAGCCAGATTTGAATATTTACCCCAAGTCAATAATATTCCCAATTTCTGATGTGTTTATGTGTTGATTTGTTGGTAACTTATTTATTTCTAACATGACCACACTGGCACTGATCTAATTAAAATGTATTTTGATTTTAGGAGAGATGCAATTGCATTTGCAAGCCATGGTCAACTTACTGCGGGATGAAGATGTGCTCAGACTTGTAAGATGTCTACAGTTTTATATTTAATTACCTTACTCTGCCTAAGCTTTTAACCACATTATTCTGATGGACTCAAAGTTAATACTAACATAGATTGAGCAACCAAGATAGAATTATTTGTCCTTACAATATCAATACAGTATCAAGCAGGTAAGTGAAGAGAGTAAAGAAAAATATCAATTTTGGAGCTGATCCAATACCAAATTCTTCAACGTCTTAAAAATTGTGTGGCAGACATTAAAAAAAATAAGTGAGGAGTAAAAGGTTTAGTAATATATCTGTTGTGGTTCAATTTTATCCTTGGTTTAAATTTTATTTTCCATTGTTTCAACCCTATTATCATACATGGCCATAACCAAAAACAGTGGAAAATAAAATTTAAACCAATGATAAAATTGAACCACAACATCCAAGGGAATTAGTAATAATTGTCAGACCTCACAAAAAGTAAGATTGCATGGGTTAAATACTATGTATGCAGATACAAATTCAACTTTAGCAATGACACTTACACAAGAAGTTGTAAGCTATGTTTTGTGTACAACAAAAAGATCTTCCATTGTAGTCACAGTTGATTTTAATACTTCTTCCTAAAATTTTTTTCATTTCAATGACCAGGTTATTAAACTGGAATGCCAGTATCCAAACAGAATTCGCTATTTAACAATTGTGTCAGCTTTTGGTCCAGATGAAGAAGAGCAGAGTATAATCATGGGAGTGGACTGGACTGACAAGTAAGTATGGGTAACAAATAGCGCATGTGCAAGTCTCACCAAATTCCTGATGAGCCATTATGGTGTATATCTATAATTAGTGTATGCACAGCTTTCTTTACATAATGTTTCTGACATGTGCAGTTTCACTTCAGCTGCAAAGTTTCTATCCAGTTAAGCAGCAGGTTTTCAAACCTTACTTGTTAAGTTTGGAAAGCACTCAAGAAGCTAGAATTGCTCTCAGCTGTGCCTCCAGTAACATTTATGCTTGTTATGCTCTGCAAACTTTCCACATGCATCCATAATTTGATACATATGTATGCATACTTAGCATGAACCAATTCTCAATTTGACCTAATAATAATAATAATAAAATCTTTATTACCGTGTCAATGTATTTAGCTCATAGAGCTAATTGGGGACACCTACTTTTACTAAATTAATAAAAAAAAACTATGTACAGTATCATAATAAGTAACAATACAGCCGATAAACTATGCATTAAAATTTTAAAATATTTAGAAATATCAACAGTGTTCAGATAACATAAAAAATGAAACGAGAACTATGCATAGAGATCCAGGGGTAGATAACTGACCCCCTCTCCCCTTTGAAGAAATAGCTATGAGAACAAACTGTGCTACTATCAAGAGTTTTTGGTTCAGCTTTGTTACTGAGCAAATGATGTATTACCAAACAGGAGCAATCATGTCCAGCTAGCATTTGAAAAACTTCAATAACTGCTCCTTTGATTAATTGCCATAGTTCAGTTATCCCTGCCCTGATTGAAAGTATGCTCAATCTACTTTGGTCATATAGGTAAATAAACAATGTCTGTTTCATTTTTTTTTTTTTTCTAAGGGCCACAATTGGTTTGGTTGTTCCTCTCTACAGAGATACAGTCATTAAGTTAGATGGTGATGGGTAAGTAAAAGGACTTGCACTTGGCACCCCCATGCCCTTACACATCATCTTTGACTGAGAAACCAGAGAGTTAAATTCTTCTGTTCTCATACCAAAACTCTGAACATGGGGCAGTATGGTGTGCTTTTGTATTTACATTTGCCATAGGAGAACATTTGTGTGTACAATGTACAAAACTGTACATGTTTTAAAATATTGGTAAACAGGCACATGTAACTGTAAGACTAAATTCAGATACTTTTGGTTTCAATTTGTTAGTGGTTTCAAGATGACATCAGCAGAGAAGACATTCATTTTCAAGCCCATTTCTGTGCAAACCATGTGGTAAGTTTGTAAACCTGTCATGTTGTTAGTAGTGATGTCATCTATGCAGCTACCCTCCATTAGATCATAAGTAAGAACCAATCAAAATGTGTGTCTAATTCAGCTGATCATATAATAGTATGGGGAACACATTTCTCTTCACTCAGAGCAACTTAGCTTGTAGCTACAGTGTACTTATGCACCAATCAATTCAAAGCTTCACCATCCTCCCACCCCCATTCCTAAGCAATCTACTGGTATTGGATAGTCACTTCTGCTCAGGGGTGGGTAGTTTGAACCTTGCCTGGCTGGGGTGGGGTCTTTCTTGGAGAATACCTGTGTTACATATGTGAATATAGAGGAGGTTAAGGTACATAGTTCAGGTTTGCATGCATTTGGCTCAGAAGAAAAGGTTCACAGGATCTAGGTTTTAAAGCTTGGTTAATGTATTGAAAGTCACAAATGCTAATTTTGTCTTTTACAACAAAAATGGGTTGGGCATTTGAACACAATTTTTGCCCAAGGGGGTGGGAATTTGAATAAACCAATCTTCATAAGTTCAAATTTCCAGGGTTTGTCCCCAGGGGTGGGGGGGAATTAATTGCCCCACTGTATACTTAAACTCCTTTGCTTCCTTTTCTGCACTTTTGGAATGTTTTAGACCAGTTTTCAGTGAATGTTGTTTTCTTAAAATTTTCAGGACAGCCCTGCAGTGGATCCACAAGTGCAGTGAAAATGCTAGGAAGCACAATTACTATTACACAAACTGCACATCTCATGCCTGGGTTGATTATTACTACAGAAAGATATCATCAGACAGAGTGTGTATGAATGAATGGTGAGTTAGATATAAGGCTGAGTTAAGCTTTTGGATCAGTCTCAGTATCTGAGCAAATTGATTACCTGTCACTGTCACCTGCCTCTAAGCAACAGACTTGTAGTTAAGTTCCTTCTCCCTTAACCCTAACTTGTTATCAGTTGACTATTGTGGGGAGGGGTAGGTATCTGACTATTGACTGGTAGGGGAGGGGTAGATATGCAGTTACTCAGATACTGACCTTAATCCTAGCTTTTCAATTACAACATGAAGTCTGCACAATGGTCCCTTTTTTTTAATGAGGCTTTAACTCTTTCACCTACAAGAATGACAGGTAGTCAATTTGTTCCTTAAGTATCACTATTGAGTTAAACATTAAGGTCATGATTCTAAGAGAAATAATTGCCAACTAAAGAAGCCCTTGATTGTTAAACAAATTCTCCTTGTCAGTTACCCAGGAAATGTATTAAGATCACCAAAGAGTGTACTGATACTGATATTAGGGTGTAACACCTGAATAGCCATTTGTTAGTTTAGTTAGTGAGTGTGATGTTGTTGCTGACGGCAATTTTGCATGAATTTTACATGTACCAGTAATTCTAGTTCTTATTGGCTGGGGAATATTTTTCTTTTCTCTTTGGCTTTTTAGGCTTTGCAACACTGAATCAAAACCCTCTTTTTATTGTTTCTCAAATTTCTTGTAATCAATTTGCTTCAGTAGTGTTCTGTCAGCATAACAGGAAAGTCTGCAGAAATGTTTGTTTTTCTTTTCTGGCATGACACACTTTTCCATGTCCTGTCTCATTCATACCACAAAATCCCTCTCTATCTCAAGAGAAAAACTGCTTACAAGCAGTTTATTTTCCAAAAAAAAAAAAAGTTGATTTATTCCTTACATATTCATTACAATTTTGTGTTGTAGGCAGCAAATGGATGAACTTGAATCAAAGCGTCCAGAGTCACCAATTGGCACAGCGTATGTACAATAATTCAATTTATAACATAACCAAAGTAAAGCGCGCGCTCTGACTGGTCAATTTAGCGTCCCCCATTTGCCCGTGGGTGTACGCTGCTGACGTGAGCAAATGTAAAGACTATTTTTCCGCGCGCGCTTGTATTTTCTGGTCACATAAGATTTATTAAATAAAAGGGAACTTTTTAGCTATAATGTATCAATGTTATGTTATAAAACAAATGGTAAACACCACAGCGTACACTATTGAGTTATGGATGCACGTGGGAGGTTTGCTAAGCACTCAAGAAGCTAGAGTCGCTCTCGGCTATCGCCTCGAGCAACTCTTACGCTTCTTTCGTGCTTAGCAACCTCCCAC